TTAAAATGCAGTGGAGTCTATTCCAGTTGTTATTTTTGCTCTGTAGTTTTGAGGAAAAAGCTTTTTTTGCTTTGTTTTTGTTTTGAAAATACATATTGCTACAGCAAGAGGTTTTTTACTGTTGTCAAAAATGTATGTTTGTGAGTATCTATATGCACTCATGTGTACACATATACACATTTCTCTCTTTATATATAAAAGCTTTCCTGTGAGAATCTTAAGAGGAATTGTTACGGAAACTCTTGGAAATATATTCAGTGGCAATCTTGCTATTTCTCTCTATAAAATACTAACACAATTGTCAACCTGTTGGTGCGATTTGGGAGAATAGATACTTTGTTCTCTTAATTGCCAGCTCTCCAGAGAAATGGCTAGATCTCTCCCTGAGCTTTCCACACCCATTCATTGTTGCCTAAATCTAGAGTTAGAAATTGTTAGTGTTTTGTCACCACAGTTAGCAAGGTAATATCTGGGTACGTTGTGACATTGTGAGGTATCATCCCATGCTGACTAACTGGTAACTCATTTCAAGTATTCTTATGTAGTTGTTGCTGGTTTGTTTTAAGGCTCATAGCCACAAGAAGTTGTTAGTATGGTTCCTCTTCACTGTCCAGGTCAGCTAGATGTGGAGATTTTTAACAGCAACATGCAGGTATGAAGTCTGCTGTTACATCAGTGAGCTTTGTTGCCATGCTACTGTACTTCATGCATGGTTATCTTACCTGTACTGCCTCATCTCTAACATAAACATGTTTACTTTAAAGGGACTCTATTATACTTTGTTTCTGTCTGCTTTTCTTTTTGTTTTCAGCTCAAGAAGTTCATAAGAACTCCAGAGATCCCTTCAAAGCATGTGAGAAACTGGGTCCCCAAGGTTCTGGAGCAGCGACGGCAAGGCTTGGAGTTGTACTTGCAGGTGAGTCTCTTCTCAGCACTGTGAAGGTAAATGCAGCATCCATTTTCAAACTGGTAGCATCCAAAGCATTTGAAGATACAGGAGTTAGGAAGTGGGGTGTTTCACCCCATCACCCCACAGGAGGTGGGGGATGAACTGTATATTTGCCAGCAGTGATGATTTCAGTTCACTTAACAAACCTGGCACCTAGAAATCCAGGCTGTTTTGCATTTTATTCCCAATTCTAGTAAAAGCTGCTGTCAGTGTGGTGAAGCTTCTAATACCTGATTTTCCTCTGCGTAAAACGGGGAAAATAGCTTTCTGAAGTCGTTCTGACTGCACCAAAGAAAACATTGCAGAAGAGATAAAAGGAATCTTTATTTATCTCTCCTCCATTTAGACAGACTAGGAAGGAATCAGATCATCAAATTTTTATCCCTCTGCTGAACATACCTGTATCTAAGTTGTTCATATAGTTGAAATAAGCACCTTTCATCCCATATTCATCTCAGCCAGTTTGGAAGTTTGCATTTGAAGTCTCCGATTCTACTAAACAGGTTCTGATTTTGTTACAGACTATACAAGGAGTCTTCAGGAATGACTCAGACATACAGGCATTTAAACATACCAGTGATAAATCCCCGCCTTTTTTTATTGAATGGAATTTCTACTGTCACTGTGACTGCTTTAAAAATGCTCCGTGGTGGAGTTTCACAACCATTTATCTGTTGACAAACACAAATGAAGGTGTTTCTCTAGACATATTCCCAGTTCGCTGCACCTGCAGCTATACTGAAGGCAATAACAGAAATCATTTGATTCAAAAGACCATAATTAGTAGTTTTGGCAGGAAGGCAAGAGTGAGAGTACTCTATTTTTACTCAGATCAGAGTAGTAAAAATAGTAAAAAATCCAGATATCTGATTTATGTCATCATGCACAGTTGCAGCTGCACAACTGGAAGAATGGTGAACAGCAACATAATGGACGGTGAACTGAATTTATAGAAAATAGATGGTAACATGCTCTGGTCTGGAACCTCCCAGGTTCTTAGGAATATTTGTAAAAGAAAACTGTTTCAAGAGGAGAATAGAAATATAGTGTGACACAATACAGTGTTACTTCTGACATTAAACTTTTAAGAAGAAATTTGGAAATAAGGAGAAAAATACAGGTCAGGTTTTGTTCTGATATAGGGAACACTTCAGGCAACATAGTTAATTTTTGTATTTTAAAATATTTAGTTAGTAGTGTTAAATTGAAACATAGAATCATCATAGAATCATAGAATCTTAGGGGCTGGAAGGGACCTCGAGAGATCATCTAGTCCAACCCCCCTGCCAAAGCAGGGACACCTAGAGTACATCACACAGGAACTCATCCAGGTGGGTTTTGAATGTCTCCAGTGAGGGAGACTCCACAACCTCCCTGGGCAGCCTGTTCCAGTGCTCTGTCACTCTTACAGTAAAAAAATTTTTTCGGATATTCACCTTGAACCTCCTATGCTCCAATTTACACCCATTACCCCTTGTCCTATCACTGGTCATCACTGAGAAAAGCCTAACTCTGTCCCCCTGACACTCACCTCTTACATATTTGTAAACATTGATGAGGTCACCCCTCAGTTTCCTTTTCTCCAAGCTAAAGAGACCCAGCTCCCTCAGCCTTTCCTCATAAGGGAGATGTTCCACTCCCTTAATCATCTTCGTAGCTCTGCGCTGGACTCTTTCGAGCAGTTCCCTGTCCTTTTTGAACTGAGGGGCCCAGAACTGGACACAATACTCCAGATGTGGCCTCACCAATGCAGAATAGAGGGGGAGGAGAACCTCTCTTGACCTACTAACCACACCCTTTCTAATACACCCCAGGATGCCATTGGCCTTCTTGGCCACAAGGGCACATTGCTGGCTCATGGTCATCCTCCTGTCTACCAGGACCCCCAGGTCTCTTTCACCTACACTACTCTCCAGCAGTTCAGCCCCCAACCTGTACTGGGACATGGTGTTGTTCTTCCCCAAATGTAAAACTCTGCACTTCCCCTTGTTGAATTTCATCATGTTTCTCCCCGCCCAACTCTCCAACCTATCTAAGTCTCTCTGAATGGCAGCACAGCCTTCTGGTGTGTCAGCCACTCCTCCCAGCTTAGTGTCATCAGCAAACTTGCTGAGGGTACATTCTATACCCTCATCCAGGTCGTTGATGAAGATGTTGAACAACACCGGTCCCAGTACCGACCCCTGTGGGACTCCACTAGTCACACACCTCCAACCAGATTCTGCCCCATTGACTACAACTCTCTGACTCCTTCCTTTCAACCAGTTCCTAATCCACCTCACTTCCTGATCACCAAACCCATACCTGATCAACTTTTCTACAAGGATGCTGTGGGAGACGGTGTCAAATGCTTTACTGAAATCAAGATAAACCACATCTACCGCTCTACCATCATCTATCCACCTAGTAATTTCCTCATAGAAGGCTATGAGGTTAGTCAAACATGATTTACCCTTGATAAAACCATGCTGACTGCTCTTGATGACCCCCATGTCCTTGATGTGCCTGGAGATAGTCACAAGAACAAGTTGTTCCATCACCTTTCCAGGGATGGAGGTGAGGCTGACCGGTCTATAGTTACCCGGGTCCTCCTTCTTGCCCTTCTTGTAGACTGGAGTGACATTTGCTATCCTCCAGTCCTCAGGCACCTCACCTGTTGCCCATGACTTACTGAAGATGATGGAGAGTGGCCTAGCAATGACCTCCGCCAGCTCCCTCAGCACCCTTGGGTGCATTCCATCTGGACCCATTGATTTATGGATGTCCAGATTACTCAACTGATCCCTAACCCAATCCTCATCTACCATGTCAAACTCTTCCTCTATCTTGACTTCTTCTGGGGCTATATGAATCTGGGGCTCATAGGGAGACCCTGCAGGAGTGAAGACAGAGGCAAAGAAGGCATTCAGCACCTCTGCCTTCTTTATATCCTCTGTCACCAGGGCTCCCACCTCATTCCTCAATGGGCCAATATTGCCTCTACTGCTAGTTTTGCTAGCTATGTATTTGAAAAAGCCCTTTCTATTATCCTTAACCTGACTTGCAAGGTTAAGTTCCAAGGAGGCCTTAGCTTTCCTAATTGCCTCCCTACATCCTCTGACAACAGTCCTATATTCCTCCCACGTGACCAGCCCCTCCTTCCATGATCTGTAGATTTTCCTTTTCCACTTAAGTTTGCCCAGTAGTTCCTTCTTTAACCATGCAGGTCTCCTAGCACCCTTACTAGATTTCCTAACCATTGGGACACTCTGATCCTGTGCTTGCAAGAAGTGGTCCTTGAATGTTGACCAGCTATCTTGAGCTCCTTTATTTTCTAGCACCCTGTCCCATGGGATTTCCCTTAATAGATGATTGAGGAGACCAAAGTTTGCCCTGTGGAAGTCCAGGGTTCTGGTCCTGCTGGGTATTTTGTTCCTTCCACACAGGATATGTACTCATATAAAATCTGTTTTGTTGTGATTACATCAGCTCAGTTAAGATTTTATTAGCATTTAAATTCTATCACCATGCCTTACAAATTAGGTAGTTAATATTGTACAAACAAGGCAAACAAATAATTATCTTACTGTATTGCTTAATAATCTACCTGGTCTTCTGACATTTTTCAAAAAGAATTTTCAGCTTCAGTACAATACATTTTTTTTCTACTATGTTCTTGTTTGTTACACAGTTGTCAGGCTTTTCACTCTCAGTCTATCCTTCTTTCTCTCTTTCTTTACCTTTCTTCTTTTAGATTCTGTAGTATTGCTACATTAAAAGAGAAAGCAAGGAGACTTGCTATTAAGGGGAAGAAATTCAAAGTAGAGTGAAAAGTCATAGCAGTACTGTGAATAATTAGAATGCAATGATTCTTTGAAATATAAATATGTGTAATTTTGTAGGAGTGTAAAATGGTTTGGTTTTTTTGTCCCTTGTTTTTTCTTTCTGGGTTTCAGTGTTTAGGAGTAAGGTAGGACGTGGATAGTAATCGGAAGAATCCACAAGATTGGGGAGTTTCCTTTTAACATCCCTAATCCGAGCCCCAGGGAGGCAACAGACCTCCCTGTGAGATGGGTCCGGTCGACAAATGGGCCCTTCTGTCCCCCTCAGAAGGGAGTCACCCACCACAATTACTCTCCTTTCCTTCTTGATTGAAGAAGTCCTAAGGACTCGGGGTGACTGACGAGTCCTAGGTACTTCACCAGGTAAGTTTACCCCTCCAACTTCATTTTCCTGTCCCTGAATTTCCAAAGCCTTGTATCTATTCTTCAAGGGCAACTGAGAGGGTGGAAGGGGTTGGGAGGATTTTTTCTTGCCTCTTCGAGGTCGGACCTCCTTCCATTCCTTCATATCTCTTAAGTCCTCTCCATCTGTCTGGTGACAGAAGGGGAGAGGATCCGTCACTTTCCCAACCTCTTCTTCCCAACATGTAATCCTTTCTCCTTATTACTCTATGAGATTTATAGCAGCCTCTTTGGCATCTACAAATTACACTTAGTGATAAACATTGCTGTTGGATTTGGTAGGTGTCAGCACAATTTGCTCCATCATCGGTATTTTTTTCTCTAGTAGCCATTTGCTTTAAATTTTCATACAACTATCTTTTGGAGAATATTGCTACATATTGGCACATGTACCAATTTTTCTTATAAGGTTGATTTGTAAAAAGATACAGGGTTAAATTGGTTACCATTTTTTAATTGCTAATACTTTAAAAGAACATCTCCCCCTACTGGAAGTTAGTCAACTCTTGTACTTCAGTCAACTGCAGTCTTCTGTCACCATTGGTTATCATAGGAATATGGAATGGTTTAGGTTGGAAGCAACTGCTGGATGACATCTGATTAAAACATGACAAGGCTCTAAGTTATGTCCATACTAATATGCATACTAAATTAAAAGAAGAAAAAAATAATTGATACTCTTGTCAAAGTCATTAATTTCTGTTTCTACTAACAGAAAGCAGAGCTAATAATTAGTGACATTTT